TTGCTTATGAACTGTGGACCGTTGTCATGAATGATCCGTCTTGGGCATGCCGGTCGGTAGAATGACATGATGCTTGAATGAAATTAAATGACGTTGTTCGTGCTTCACTTCTTCTAAGCGAATCGCTTCAGGCCGCACTTTGAGAAATAATGCTGTGATCGCCGAGGATGAACCGATCAAGCCTTGACTGAAGGGGGAAAATAGGACGCGACTATTGTCCATAGCCCCAAGTCTCGAACGAACAAGACGTGGTTGACGTGTGGTCAACTGCTCTGGCGGTTTATGGCAATATAATCAGCGATGTATCTGGCAAGGCGTGGCATTGCTCGTGCGTCATTCGATGGCGTCACGAACCCATCGTGGCGGTCAGAAATATCGCATCGCTCTGCTGAATGCGATCATGACAGTTTAGGTACCGGGGCTGATGCCGCACACACATTCTCCCTTCGTGTGCTTCTTAAGAACTTCATTACTTCTCTGTTCGAAAGAACATGGAGTAAGACGCATCGTAGCCCTCTAACGGTATAATGTATGGGTTTCGTATTCATATGAAGAATCCTTGGCAGCTCTTCGGCGGGATTGATTCTTTTCTTTTACATCGCTCTGGCAAGATACCATAATTGGACGTAGTCGAATGATAGGAAAAACGCCATATCTCACGGGACTCAGACCATTTGGAGTTGAATTCAAACCTCTTTGGCGTTCGAGTTCTATCCTCTCTTCTTCAATGCTCGCGTAAGCTGTATAGGGTAACGCAGCAGTTGATGCGTCGTACTGTGACTAAGCAACTCAGCTTCGGGAGCTGTGCCAGTGATAACTGCTAGTCCGCCAGGTGCGTCTGGATAAGCGTTCTAGAGACGAGGGATCGTATTCAATAAAGAATTCTTCGAAGATTCTGCATTTTGAATGCTTCCCTGGTGGTAGCGGGATCAGGTCTTGCGTTCCTGACTTCATACTGCAGCGACGGCGAATCTTGGTTGACATATCAATTGCGAATCCCCCAAAGCTTCGAGATATTCGACCCGGACCAGCTTTGTGGCGAAAACTGGAGTCGGCAATGAGAAGCGCATTGTATTCGGCAACATATTGGAGCACGGACTAGTCAATGAATAAGCCCAGAGGCATCACGTGCTTTCCCGGGGAGATTAAGACGACTCCAACTACCAGAGGAAACTGTAAGGACATCCGGGTTTATTACTCTAATTAACTGCCCTATGAGGCACGCCATCAGAAGTATAATGGCCATTACTGTTGTGTGATGTGGTGTTTAACCGCTCGTGGGTTTCATCCCGGCAAAGTCAGCATATACTTCTGGCGGTATCTATGGTCGGGTTTGCCGCGCCAAAAGGTGCCACAATCGCCTGTCCTTTTATAGACTTCTGGCTGCTTGAAGTGCAAATCGTATTGGGCAAAGAGAAAGGGCGCCCAGCTTCGCTAGCCGCCAATTCCAAAGAGGACCGGATTGCGTTTCATAAAACAACCGGTACTGGATTAACGTTGGAGATAACGTAGATCGACCTGTCCCGCACCAGGTAAATAGCCGGCAGTCTTTGGCATCGGCAAAATACCAATGCAGAGGCATTCTTATCCTCAATCATCGATATCGAGACTCCTTGCGCCTACCAAGGTCCCGGCTTAGGTAATAAACTGCCTGTTCGTGCGCGTTATCATCGTCTTGCGCATAGTAAGGCACATTATCGAGTTTGGTTCATCGCTTGAGATAAATCATGAACAGGTTTACAGATGTTCGGTGCAATAGCGAGAAACAGGAGGGGTTCGCCAGATATGGTTTTGATATCATTCGAGACGCATTATTTGGCAAGGCATCATCCCAGATAAATGAAATACTCCTTTCTTGTTGCAGTCTTAGAGAACGTTGCAAACTTCCGCCAGAAAGATTTGAGATGAAACGCCGGATAATAAGCTGAAACCCTTGCAATCGCATCTGAGTTCTCTCAAGATTCCTCAGGGGGCTGCAAATATCAGTATCGCGCTTCACCTTATCAGGATGCGATATGTATACCCTTAGTGGTGACGACGAAGCCCAAGAATTTCCGCTGGACATTCCAAGGAAGTGGATTTAGTGGGTTCATACTTCATTGATGAGCTCCATGCATGAATCGAACATCGTCATTCAATCCTTGATGTGATCTTCCTTGTTGCGCGCTTTCACAACCAATCATACAACGGTAGCATTCGACTCGTTATTTCCTGGAATGTTCTTGGGAAAATCTTAGATCATCGCTCCGCTGGTAATGTGGCAACCGCATTCTATCAGACGCGAAAAGGGCATCAACGTATAGCAGAAGACGCCAAGGGGTGTTCTAACGCACGTAATGGTTCTCATCGCTCTGGATGCATCTTGATCTGGTTATATCCCGGAAAACATCGCATGAAGCGACATCCTCTCAAATCCACATGTTATTGTCGATAATGCAATCCGTAGAATTGGGAGAAGGGAAATCGTCTTTCGGACATGCTTCATTCAGGTTCCTGAGTCGATGGGCAGAATCTGATTTTGGCCAATTCTTTCTTTCATCGACGGGAACGATGTTGGCTAACCAGTCTGGATGTTGATTCCTCTCGGATAAATCCTGATTACGATGCAACTTCTAACCTCTTGGCCTCAATGGCTTCCCATGAATCTGTGACGGAAACCGTCTTTGGCTGTTGGCTTAACAGGTTGGCATACCGGCTTGATATCGAGGCGGTGCATTGCGACAATTGGGTCGAGCCCGTGGCATGTCTTCATAATTCCTGCGAAGACGTCGATATACTTCTCTGATGAGAGCAATCAAATTCCTCCTTCTCATGCTGGGGGAAGACTGTCGCTGATGAAATATAGGCTTTTGGGTGGCGCTCAAATCAAAACCCATGTTAATCTGGACTCAATTTTATCTTCAAAGTGGGTGGTTCTCATTTGGCTCGAACCATAATCGCCATATTGCAATATTCAAGATGGTGAACCCACGGGTCTTCCCATGTTGTCATTTTTGATCGTCGTGCCATCCATGAGTGGAGTGGATCGCTGTAAGCCATATTTGCAGCATTAAGGGCTTTGAAAACTTCTCGCCAAGACTTGGTATTGGAGTCCCACTCCTGAGCAGCGGCGAGAGTATCGCCTTCTTGCTTTGTTAGGCAATTTGATCGAGTAATTTGCGCAACCACATTCGTCATCTGATGAAACATAACCTAAGCCTCTGCCCCAGTACTATAAAATCGCTCAGGTACCTTTGTAGCATAATACTGCTTTGGCTAGGATTACGAGGACCTCGATCGAAGTAATAAACCTTGCTCCGAGTGTGAAATCGTAGCCCTGCTTTTTCCATGAGCTTTGCCGCGCTTCTGGACTATAACTTGGATAGATGTGACCAGGTTTGTCATCATCTTTCAGTCTTCACTAGGAATGATCTGGTAACGGAGAGCCTTTTTCCTTTCCGTTAAATCACTTCTTTAGTACCTCTACTTGCGTTCGGGATGACCATGGTTGTTCCGAAAGAATGCTAGAGGTGTTCGCTTCGTTACATAGGATGAAATCGGATCGGCATACTACAACTCAGGAATTTGTCGTACAGCTCTTTTTATCAATCATCAAGAGAACAAGGAGTACTCTTAAAAATCATCTTTTTATTGGGCAATATCGGGCAGTTGCCAAGGTTAGCAATCTGCATCTGACGATTGTTCATCGTCAAGATTGATTAGCAAAAGGGTACAATGTCATTTAAAACAAAACCGGCCATTGAGTAATGCGAATCCGTGGCTTCAGAATGCAGCTCTTCTCCGCTGTCTGTGCCGCTGGGCCGATGGTTCAGTATCCATTCGTTAGCCCTATAGAAGAGAGAATCGGTGAAATAATTCTCATACCCCTTGAAATGGTTGCTTATCCGGCGACACCGCAACAGGCCGTCCTAAACCTCATTGTCAGTGTCCGACATCTATCAAACACTGTGGAGAGTAAGGGAATTATCACACATACTATGGATCCAAGGCCGGACCCATAGTAAGCTTGTGGGGGGGGGGGGGGGAAAAAAAGGGGGCGAAGTCTCCGCATCGATGCACGAGATAACACAGTTGACTTCTGTCTTCGAGATCTCGCAATCCTGGCACTTCACACCGGATCTTACGCCAAGGTCTTGACCGCACTAGTGTTGAATTCCATAAATAACAGTGGCCTGTGGACGCCAACATTGCTTACTGGAGAGCGAGGAATAATGCATCGATGCGAAGCGGCATAATACTGCACAGCAGAACCGGATCCGACTTGATCGGTTGACTTGGCTGAGGGGCCAATGTATCCGACGAATATACGGCCGATTCGTGGTTCCGAATTCTCGTCTGGCATATCTTCTTTGGTGAAAAGGTATGCAGGGGAAGGTTCTTAAGTCGGCTATGTTGGCACTGTTGACTGTACAGGCGGTTCTGGCGTTTCATACACCGGCTTGACTTGAGTCAGAAATATCTGCTGCAATTGGCAAAGCTTCTTGTAAGGGCTGCCCTGGTTTCTTTGGATAATCGGCAACAATTCATAACAGCGTTATCCGTGCAGGAATGTTGGCTAATTGCGCCATAGGATGTCGAAGCTATGCGGAGTCTTCGAGCTTTCCGGTTTGTCCTCTTCAATTGGACGAGCTGAAACGAGACTTTTCCAAAACAGTATGAAATCCTTTCTTGTGAATTTTTGAGTGATCTTCTCTATGCTTGGGATATCTATTAGCATTTTTTGACGCCTACAATCTAATAGGGGAAATATGTAGTAGTCAAGTGCATGGATAAAATGCATAACTCTCAGGAGAAGAAACACAATGTCATCCCTTATTATAGAAATTACCTGTTACTTCACGAATTTGTGATGGCTCCCGTAAAACTTTATGAAAAAAAAGTGATTTACAATATTGTAATTAATGTGCAAGGAATAAGATTTGCAAGCATGGATATAATGGTTTCTAGCAATCTCTGAGGCAGGGCAGCGGAACTAGGATAACATAATGAGTGATGCACACCTATTGATCTGGAAGTGGCTAGCACTCCTAAGACGCCGAATAGCCATCCCCAGTTGATAACGCTTCGCTGCAGCTGGCTTCGCACTGCTTTGCCAATCTCGGTGCTGGCGCATGTAAGGCTGGTTTATGAAGAAGCTTATCGTTAATATTAAACTAAACAGTAGGAAATGAGGAGGAAGATGAGAAGAAACTTTGATTTATTAACTGAAAAGGGATGGAACAAAAAGTACAATTAACCCCAAGGCTGAAGCTCAAATAGGAAGTAGAAAAACAACAAAACAGGAGCCATTCGAACAATTCCCTCAAAAAAAGAAATCATTCCAACAAAGGTTTTCAACGGTTAAAAAAGTTATCAGCAATGCATCAATATCTAGCCGTATGGAAAACTTGCAACTACATGGCTAAAGGGAATATGCATGACTGCAGAAGTCAACTATTATGCACTTTAAGATCTTATTAAGTAAGAAAATGTCATCGCCATGATAGCTGCAATAATTTCCATAGAAATGGGGGGGAAAGTACTGAATCCAAGCATTACAAAGGGTATCTACTAACATGGTTCATTAAACAGATTGCAATAAATAAAAAACATCCTTTTATATACCATTTTACTTTCTACTGCTTATTACACTTATCAGCTTCCAACAACTTTAAATCACATAAAAGGACCTCACTCATATTAATGAATGGCCGCTATCAATTTTCTTAATGGTAACTGATGGTTGCACAATCAAACTAGTACGTATGTAGAGCCTCATTGAAACGGCAAAGCAACTAGCATCCAATGCAAGGGCATTCCAAGATTAATATGCATCCACAAAATCTACAGACAAAATGAATCAACAGTTGGTTGGTGGACCATAGTTGAACGTGTTCGCACTAACAAGAATTATAGGTTGAGTTTGTCAACTCCATAAAACTTGTTTTAAGCGGTAAAACCTTGCTCTAACATCTAGCCTTTAGTTTTGACAAAATTTGGACCCAAGTTGAACCAGTTCTTTCTAGTTCAAAATCTAGTTCCTAAACTAGTTCTTTTGTGAACCAACCCTCATATGGACGAACTCTGGTGTGGCCTAGGGAAAAAAACCAGTCCAAGCCTGTTTCTACTATTAAGTTGCCAAATATACCCATTGAGCCCCAGTAGCTAAAAGTGACTCGAAATCAGAAAAGCATTTGGAGATCAGGAACAACTTAGGTCCACAATTTAGAAAAAAGGAAACTGCTTTAAGCAAAAGAAACACAAACAGGTCAGCATATTACTATCACTCTAACCCCAGACCAAATAACTCAAATCATTACTTTGCAGATCCTTGTCCCAGGAGAGGTAACATGGACAAATTTTCAAAACCGACCCATTTGTGAAATTAATCCTAAAAAAACGACCTCATTCAAACAAACTTGCAAAAACCGACCTAGTTTCAGCCTCAGAAACCATGTCGGTCTTTAAAAAAAAATCTGAAACTTCACGGGAGTTGAACTCACATAAAGTTTAGTAGATCTGCTAAACTTCACGGTAGTTCAGCTCCCGTGAAGTTTCATAGTTCAAATTTGTGAAGTTTTATAATTCAAAATTTTTTTTGAACTATAAAACTTCACGGGAGTTGAACTTCACGGGGAGTTAAACTTCACGGGGAGTTAAACTCCCGTGAAGTTTAGCAGATCTACTAAACTTCATGAGAGTTTAACTTCCATGAAGTTTCGAGAAAAAGTTTTCAAAAACCAACCTGATTTCAGCGCTGAGGCTGAATCCAGGTCGGTTTTTGCAATTTTTTTGAATGGGGACGTTTTTTGGGAATAAAAGTCTAAATGGGTCGGTTTTGAAAATTTGTCCGAGGTAACATAGGATCATGCAAACGTTGACCATATAGCCACCGCCAACAAATCTAAAAGATCCTTAGCAAGCCTGAACAAAATCCGTTGAAAATTTAACATCGCATAAACAATAATGTGAGACGTCCCCCAGATTGCAATTAACTCAATAGGAGCCAAGAGATCCCAACCAAAGATGCTGTCTTTTACGGTCAAATAAAAAAAAATGCAATATACCCGGTACGAGTTGCTTGTTATGTGATAAATTTTCATTTTTATAAGTGATCAACATATTTCACACGGGAAGAAATCCCTTACGCCAAAACCAAACGACCAAGACTTCTTTTTTTTTCTCTCTCTCTTTCCCCGGGCCAAGTCACGGAAAACACAAGGAAGGAGTGCCTAATTATGGGATGGATTTGTACAGTGACCAACGATCCATAGCAAATTCGGAACGAAAATATTATCCCGGTACCTTGTGATCAGAAGAGAGCGGGACAGCAACCCCACCCCTCGACAGCACCGGGGCTCGAATCCCAAACAAGCCAATTCGCCAGCCACAATCGGCGTGGCCCCCACTTACCAGCCACCACCGCCGTGGACCCACCTCCTGCCCGCCGCGCATCCGCCCCCTCTCCCCCAACCTTGCCCCAACCCGCCACCTCCGCGTCCCACCTTCGCGAGCACTCCCCACACCCTCCTTACCTCCTCCTCCGCCCGCTCCCTCCGGCCCAATCCTCCCACCTAACGTCAGCAAGCCACCACGTGCAACCTCTCCCCTGCACGCCGACCGCCACGTGCTCGCCCTCCGTGCACCGATCGATAGACAACCGAAGAAAATTCGTGAATTGAAGATTAATGAATTTTTATGGTGGTTTGTGAGAAGATAGTTAATATTTTTCTATTGTAGTGATGTGGTGTTGTTGGGTGATGAGTTGTGTTTTAAAAATATGCTGATATGAAAGTGGTTCGTTTAATTGTTTAATTGGATTTTTATTTGTGATTATGAATTTCTTAAATTATGGATATTTTAAAAGTGTTGGGTAGATATGAATGTGAAGCAAGAGGAGAAAAAAAAATATACATAACGCGCCCGCCGTCCCGTTGCCCCCGCTCCCCGCCTGCATCGTGCCCGCGCCTCCCTCTCCCGCAGCCGCCCCCGATCGCCCCCGCTCCGTCGCGGCGCCCGGGGCGCTCCGTGCGCCGTGCAGATACCTGCTCCGGCGGACCCGCCCCTCCCTTCGCTCCCGTCCGCTCCCTATCGCCGTCCGGCGTCCGCCCAGGCCCCGCCCCTCGCCGTCGTCCGCCTGCGGCGCTGCGCCCCCGCGCGGCGCCGCGCGCCCCCGCCCGCTGCACGTGTCCGGCGTTGCCTCCGGCTCCGCTTCAGCCGGCGCTCCTCCCCGCGCGGCTCTCCTATCCCGCCGGCAGCGCGCGGTGTGGATCTTCTTGCCCCCTTTTTTCCTCTCATTTCCATATCTTCCTGCGCTTTCCTTTCCATCCCCTTTCCATCCGCCTCCCGCATTGCTGCTGCATGCGCGAGCCGGGCGGCGTACGGGGTGGCGGGCGCGTTCCCTTGGGGTGAAGGAGGAACGTTGGCCGTTGGATTGGGGCAGGGGATTGGTCCAAGGACACGCGCCCGCTAGCTGGGCATAGGGCCGTACTTTAGGCGAGTCGCGACGTGGATATTTTCGGGTTGAGACGTGGACGGTCCAGATTGTGTGAGGTTCACACGTGGAGGAGATGATAGTGAAGTTTGGGATCCTAGCTTCGGCGCGCGGTCCCACTTCATGCATTGCAGTGATGACTAGCAATTTGTAAACACCGTTCATGCTTTGAGTACCCGTCCGGATATAGCTCAAGAGCATCTCCAGTCTCACCATAATTGGACAAATTTTCAAAACCAACCCATTTGATAAACTATTCCCAAAAAAAGACCCATTTCAGTTTTATTTGTAAAAACCGACCTGGTTTCAGCCTCAGCGCTGAAACCAGGTCGGTTTTTGAAAAAAAAATTCCGAAACTTCACGGGAGTTCAACTCCCGTGAAGTTTTGTTATGTGAAAAAACTTCACGGGAGTTGAACTCCCGTGAAGTTTCGTAAAGTTTTTTAGAAAAACCGACCTGGTTTTAGCGACAGTGCTGAAACCAGGTCGGTTTCTCTAAATAAATCCCAAATGGGTCGTTTTTTGCAATTAGTTTATCAAATGGGTTGCTTTTGAAAATTTGTCCCACCATAATTTTTCTAAAATGGGAAGCAAAATGACAAATTTTCTAAAAAAAATTTGCTCAAACTCCAATAGCTTTCCTATTTTAGGGATTTAGACATTTATTACAATTATAAAATATCCTACATACTCAATAATTGTTAAAAAAATAAATGTTTGATATTTAATTATAACAATATAAAACTCAATAAAGTATTAGATATATTTTTTTTTCTTTTTTGGAGAATGTGAGATATTTATGATAATGTTATTTTCAAGGATATGGAGAAGGAAGAATTTTTGCAGAATGCTGCAGATTTGTGGAAAGACCATCTTTTTTCTTCTTCATCCTTATTTTAGGGAATGTGATGGAGAAACTGTTGGACCTAAAAATAGCTCTATATTCCCCAAAATTGAGTATTTTAAGAAGATGAGGAAGCTGTTGGAGATGCTCTAAATACCATACCCCTTTACGGCTTTACTCGTTACCGATATAGACAAATTTTATATTTGAGGGCTGGTGCAGAGACCTAAAATATGGGATTATTGGAAGGAACATATGAGGTGTCTCCTCCTTATTATAAAATGAGTCAGCATGATGAGCTCATTATGCAATAAGAATAGGGCAGGTGAGATGTCCCCTCTCTTGGTCCCATATTTTGGGTCCTTAAAGCATTTTTTTTATATTTATGTCTGTTAAAATTTAATACAGATAATAATATAAGTGTGAATGTATAAGTGGATAAGTGTGTGTGTGTGTGTGTGCTTGTGTATATATATATATTAATATATATATATATAATAATATATATAGCACTATATATATATTATATATATATATATAATATATTATATATATATATATATATATATATAGTTATATACTATCCACCTATATAGTATATATAAGAGAAATGCGGTAATGCTTGGTACCAAACCAAAAAGCTGCTTGGGTAGTAGGTGTCTATATTTGCATCCACAATTCCGAACCACTCATCCCAAACCTATGTGAATGTGGGCCCTGATTTTAATGAGTGGAGGAAAATATGTCACCTCACTAGGCTCCAACCATAAAAACTTTATGCTTGAATACCAAAATACCTATTC